AAGAGATTGCATTATTATTGTTATTATTTAAATTTTTATTATAGCATTACTATTGTTAATATTAGGAAGTGATATTATCTTTTTATATTATAGCATTATTAATATTAATATTAATATTGAGAAGTATATTATTATTATTATAGCATTATTATTGTTAATATTAGGAAGTGATATTATTGCATTGTTTATGTTAGGAAGTCATAGTATTATTTATTTATTTCAGGTACTTATATAGCACTGTCAATTTTACGCAGCGCTTTACACATATATATATATATATATATATATATTGAACATTCACATCAGTACCTAACCTCAAAGGGTGTACAATCTAAGGTCCCTAACTCACATTCACACATACACATATTAGGGCCAATTTAGACAGGATCCAATTAGCCTACCAGCATGTCTTTGGAGGGTGGGAGGAAACCGGAGCACCCGCAGGAAACCCATGCAAGCACAGGGAGAACATGCAAACTCCACCATGGTCGGGAATCTAACCCATGACCCATTTACTGCAAGGCAGACGTGCTGCTAACCACTAAGCCACTGTGCAGCCCACATATTTTTATTGCTTTATTATTGTTAATATTAGGAAGTGATATTATTATTATTACATTATTTATTAATATTAGGAAGTGATATTATTATTATTATTATTATTACATTATTATTAATATTAGGAAGTGATATTATTATTATAGCATTATTATTGTTAATGTTAGGAAGTGATATTATTCTAACCTAAAAATGTATAACCAGGTTCTTGCATAAGTCTGGTTTGTTTTACAGTGGTTGTAAAGGTTGTTTGTTTTTTTTTTTCTCTTTCCTAAAGAGCTGCCCCTTTTTACCTGCTTTATTTGCTCTCTGCTCCTTCCCTCCTGTGTGTGACCCACAGCAAGAAGCTTGCTATGGGGGGACACGTGGGTGTCCTCCTGAGGTGAGCTATGTTCTTCCCAGCCACTCACTCTCTCCCTCCTCACTGGATTTGACTGACAGCAGCAGGAGCCATTGGCTCCCACTGCTCTCTGTCCAGTGAAAAAAGAAAAACACCAGCACTGTCGCAGACAGGCACAGCGCTGGATCGAGATAGGATATTAGGAAGTGATATTATTATTATTATTATTACATTATTATTAATATTAGGAAGTGATATTATTATTATAGCATTATTATTGTTAATGTTAGGAAGTGATATTATTATTTTTAATATAGCATTAGTATTATTGTTATTAGGAAGTGATATTATTATTACATTATTATTAATATTAGGAAGTGATATTATTATTATTATTATTATTATAGTATTATTATTATTAATGTTAGGAAGTGATATTATTATTTTTAATATAGCATTATTATTATTATTATTAATGTTAGGAAGTGATATTATTATTTTTAATATAGCATTATTATTATTAATGTTAGGAAGTGATATTATTATTATTATAGTATTATTATTATTAATGTTAGGAAGTGATATTATTATTATTATAGTATTATTATTATTAATGTTAGGAAGTGATATTATTATTTTTAATATAGCATTATTATTATTATTATTATTAATGTTAGGAAGTGATATTATTATTTTTAATATAGCATTATTATTATTAATGTTAGGAAGTGATATTATTATAATTAGTAATAGGAAGAGATAGCATTATAACTGTCATTATTTGCTAGTTATAGTATTATTATTACTATTATTGTTATTATTGATAGGAAGCATAGCAGCAGACAGATTCCTCCCTGCTATCCACAAGCTGTCAGCTTTGCCCCCCCCCCCCCCCCCCCCACCTGTCATTCTCCAGCACATAGAGTACTATGAGAGCCTCTCTCCCCAGTGCAGAAGGTAGTGCTGGTAGTACATGGGCGGGGCAGACAGAGGACTATAACAGCAGCCTCTTGTAGGATGAGTCTGGTGTGTTGATGTGAGAAGCAGCCATCTGACTGTGCAGGAGTACACCATGGTGAGTTACTCAGAGATTCATTTAATTCAGTTGTGGTTTGCTTGCTGATATTTTACAACTTGTGATTTAACCCCTCAACTACTAATACACTGCAGATATCACTGATCCCTGCGGTTCCATGCTGTATAATTGTGCTGCAATCCATGCTGTATTTAGTGTCTGCTGATTGCATGGTATTTGCATGCCTGTAATAATATTTTCTAACACAGTAGGAATGATTACATTGCTCTTTTTAGTGTGTGCAGGTTGCATCATATTTGCATACATCAGTAATAATTGTATTACTATATTAATAACTGTTGCATGGTCTTTTTGTTCTTTTTTTTTTTTTTTTTTTTTTGTTTGCAGTGCGTTTATTTAATTGCTGCCTGCAGATGAATACTTCTAGGAAAGGAATGCTTTTTGATCATTGCAATATAAATGGTCATAGTTATGATCCACATATTAGAGATCTAGAACTATTTGTAATAATGTAGATCTTTAATATGATCAGATTGATACAATGGAACAAAATCAGTGCATTGATTCACATATGAACAGTGAGATCTGCACATCCAGCAGGCTGTCAGAGGAAGAGATCGGTGTGTCCCCATCAATGGGTAACATGGTCATTGTGAATGCAGCACATGTCATGTGTGAGCGAGGGGGCGTGTCTGGTCTGATGTATAGGAAGAGAAGGGTGCGTTTCTATTGGCCACTATCAGGTTGTGAGGTGGTGTCAGACCATGGGAGGGTCTGTGTGCACACAGAGCTGGGAGAGAATTCTGGGAAATTCCATAGATATTAAGCAGCACACAATCACGTCCTATGGATCTCACTCTGTGCATGTATAATCAGTGGATTACAGTGGATCACATTAAACTCAATCACCTAGCTAGGATTGCAGATTAGCAGGAGCTCTTTTTTGTCTTTTTAATTTTACAATACACAAATACCTCTCAGATTACTGATAAACAGGTTTTATAGGACAATATTAACATAGCAAAGAGTACCTGTCACCCATTCCCCACTCTATTTATTACAGGTACTTATATAGCGCCATCAATTTACACAGCGCTTTATGTATGCATTGTACATTTACATCAGTCCCTAACCTCAAGGTATTTTTATTTTGTATTTATCTGCAGAGCGTATTTAGCATGCAACAAAATATTGTTATTTATTTAAATTGGTTCCCGAAACTAGCTTTTGCTATAGATGCGATCTGAGGCTGCATTCACATCAGAAAACGTGTGGAAAAAGATGTGCAATACGCTTGCGGTGCCATTTTTTTCTCAATGGCACCTTAAATGCAGGATGCAGTCATGCGACAAAATGCACGGTGTAAAACCTCTGCCAAAAAAAGATGCAGGAGCAAAAAGCACGCAAAAAATTGGCACCTTGTACAGGTGTGAATGGGGCTTAAAGCTTAGGTTTAGGCGTGGTGATTTTTACATAGTTATACTGGTCCAGCTTGGACCTATGTAAGTATGGGTGTGACATACCTGAGGGATCCCTGTGGAAGCTGGACATCACTATAGTAGATATCGCCACTCCAGTGATCTCCACTTGCTTCCGAGTCCTGTGCCAAGCAGCTGCCCTACGGCTTGCTGATCACAGGAGATTGCTCATTTGGCACATGTGCGATTAAAAGGATGCTGTGCATTTTTTCAATAAATCCAATGCATTTTCTGATTGGGCAAGATGGAGAGACAGGGATGTGATGTTATGATCTCCACCAAGCCCAATCAGAGAACATTTTTTTCACGAAGCAATTGCAGAGTGTTTCATGAGTGGCACCTGTGCCAAGTGACTGACATGTTTTCAGTAAGCAACAAGGCTACTGCTCAGCACTGGACCTGGTGGCTTTTTTTTTTTTTGTCATGCAGGTGTGATACGTTTTTGGTGACTGGCTCTTTTAATGAGACATTAGGGGTCTTTAAGACCCCTGAAGTCTCCCCTGCCCGTCAGTGAAGCTAGTGGAGCACAGATCGCAGTTCATTAGCTTCCTCCCTGGCTGCATCAGCTAGAGAATGTTATGTTTTACATGTCTCCTGCAGGTTATTAGTAGAAAGGAGAGATCAGCGAACCGGTGTTCGCTGATCTTTCTTCCCTCTACCCGCCTTGCCATCCTGAGTTTTCCATTGAAACAGAAACGACCAAACCTGCGCTTAGATTCATACACAAAATATATAACTCAAAAAAATTTATATTTTTAGATAAAAATCAAAAAAGCTGCTCGCATAAAAGGTGATATAAATAATAAACAATAAAAAATGCAGCGCTAATCTGTATGAAAATAAATAATCATAAAGTCCAAATGTTCCAAAAAATTTTTGTTAAATTGCCCAAAGCGGAGTTCACACGGTCCACCATCACCAAAGTACCTGAATGGATAAGCCCCTTACCAGACGTCCTGACTGAAACACACCGGTCAATACACGCAGCCCAAAGTGAGGAATGAATAGTGCAGATGATGAAGCTGGCAATCCTCCCAAAGATAAAGTTCAATCTTCCTCTCATAAGATCTTTACAGGCTTTGAAAAAGACTCCCATCCAGTAATCAGATGAGGAATATGAAAAGAAGACCACTCATAGTGTAGTCATTTGAAATTAAAATCAACTAATGTAATAGATTTTACACATTATTATGAATGGTTACCAGCATTGAACAAAGTTTCCAACCAAGAAAATAGCCGCCGTCCCTCCAGAACGTGGTGACGTCACACGCCTAGGCTTCATCCGATGCATTTCGTCACCCAATTGACGTTGTCAGGAGCTTTTCAGAATTACACATCAGTGGCAGCGAAAGGGTTAAATCCTCTGTACTCTAATTAAAGCAAAAAAAAAAACAGTTTTGGTTATGCATACATTGAAAAATGGCATTAGGCAGCATTCGTAATGTCTATTCGTACATGTGTTCATATTCTTATATCTCATATTTTGTAAGAGTGTTCATGTAGGGAAAGGATATCTATGGGAATTACGTATATTTATATATCTGAATTTCTTCCCCATCCTTATGTCCAATTCTCTCTTTATTATCAGGACACCATAGTGATAATCGCATTGGCGGTGGTTATAGTGAGCACTTTAATATTCGTGATTAAATCATTGGGAACAGAAGCAGAGAAGGCACCGGTCACCCTCCTGGATCCTAACACCAAGTACCCTCTTCCTCTTATTGAAAAACAGGTACAAAACCTACAAACTTCCCTTTACTGTTTATTGTAGTGCAATCAATATAGACTAAAGGGATCGCATAAACATGGTGAAATCAGTAAGTATACGCATGACATACAGCTCCAAAAAAAAAATGTACACCTACCACAATGCATGAGCAGGATTTTCCTCCTAAATAGGTCTTTGTTCTGTCTGAGAGTAATTGAAGAGCTATTGGAAGAAAACATCCTGGGCAGGTGTCTGTACAACCTGTGATAGAGTATAAAGGTTATGGCCAAACATTTGTGGACATTTAAAGCCCAACTCTGGGAAATGGGGCTGCACCCGCACTGCAAGGGTTTGCTGCTTGTTTAGTCAATGAAAGAGGAAAAACACTTTAACTTACCTGATTCTCCACTTCTCCAGCAGATGGCGCTTCCCCTTGCTCCAGTGGTGGACTGTCCCTTGGGGGGTTATTTACTAAAGCTGGAGGCTGCAAAATCTGGTGCAGCTCTGCATAGAAACCAATCAGCTTCCAGGTTTTATTGCCAAAGCTTAATTGAACAAGCTGAAGTTAGAAGCTGATTGGCTGCCATGCACAGCTGCACCAGATTCTGAGTGCTCCAATTTTAGTAAATCTCCCCCTTGGTGTCCTCTTGTGCAATGTAGGGCTATGGACCCTGCATTGGTCTTGATGACATCAGGACCTTACATTGGTGGTGCGTCAGGGAGAAGACGCTACAGGAACCGGTCTAGCAGTGTGAAGGATCGGGTAAGTAGATCTTCTTTTTTTTGTTCCAACTGCAAGTGATCATTTTTAAGCTTCCCAGAGTTGGGATTTAGCCATCACATGTATGGGATGTTTCTCACTGATCCGTTTTTGATATTGCTTTTAGTGTTTAAAAAGTGGAACAAAATGCTTGAAAAATATATCCTTCGGAACTCTTAACACCAGGGAGATGCAGGTGTGGTGCATTTTTAAAAGTCTGACATGCTGCATATTTGGTGTATGTTTAACCATTTGCCTAACGGGCACTTTTACCCCCTTCCTGCCCAGGCAAATTTTCAGTTTCAGTTCTGTCGCACTTTGAATGACAATTGCACGGTCACGCAACACTGTACCCAAATGAAATGTTTAGCATTTTTTTCACACAAATAGAGCTTTCTTTTGGTGGTATTTAATCACCGCTGGGTGTTTTATTTTTTGCTAATTAAATGAAAATAGACAGAAAAATGTGAAAACTTTTTTTCTTAGTTTCTATTATAAAATTTTGCAAACGGATAATTTTTCTCCTTCGCTGATGTGCGTTGATGAGGTTGCACTCATGGACACTGATAGGCAGCACGGATGTGCACTGATAAGGCAGCACTGATAGGCTGCACTGATGAGGCAGCACTGGTGGGCATTGATGAGGATACACTGATATGCAGTACTGGTGGGCACTTTTGGGGCTGCACTGATACTCAATGCCCTGATTATCAGTGTAGATGTCTCCATTCACACTTGCAGTTTATCAGCAGTACTTTCCTCACGCTGTGACCTCATGAGGAAAGTACTGCCGATAACCGGCAAGTGTGTTCACATTGTGATCAGCTGTGATTGGACGCAGCTGATCACATGGTCACATGGGTTGAAGAGAAAAAAATTATGAATGTATGGGCTGCCTTGGCCACTGTTCCAAGAGTTCCACGTAGTAAATACTGATTAGTTGGAGTTGGGAGACCATGCAGGATTCTTTGAGTTATTTATAACCATTTTTTTCGTGATTCCATGGGTGAATGGTGGTGTTTGCCTCCCTTTTGGAGGTATGGGCTCCTACCTTACTGATACAACTGCAGTGTCAGGTCAGTGACAGGTATTTGGATGGAGAGTGAGGAGCGTCCAGTATCTAAAGGAATACCCTATTGTATACTGTAGAAAGGGTACAATCCTTTATTGAAGATAATGGATATACAAGTTGAGCCAAACGTGTTTCAGGGAATTAGTTAATAAAGTGCTACAATAGTGATGATGGAGTCATCCGAAACCAGTGAGAGCAGTGGGGGACAGGAAAAGTGTTGGTTTCTGAAAAGACTTTACCAAGTGAGTTTCTCTGCATCAGAATGGTGTGCAGTGGTAGAAGTTACCAATAGTTTCTTGGATATTACGATTTAGCGATGGATGTTTTAAGCTGTCTCAGTACGAAGTTCCAGGACAACAGTTTTTGAAGTATTATGGCATCTAAAGGCCATGTGACTTGAGTCTTATATAGGATTCTGGGCATTCCTAACCTATTCTTGTTACTCTCAGTAATATATTTTATTGGGAAGTTGAATTGTTTAACACATTATCACTGCTTTTTGCAGGAAATCAGTCATGACACTAAGAAATTCAGATTTGGTCTACCATCATCTGAGCACATTTTGGGACTTCCTATAGGTAAAGTTTTTTGAGACTGACTTCTCTATAAAGAGAATACAACATCAATGTACATGCCACAGTCCATTATTATCAATATCAACCTTAATTTTCAGTATGCGGTAGTTGCTGGAAATGGAAACTGGTTAACAGTTTCTTATATTTCTCAGGAACTCTATTGGAGAGCTAGTAGTAGCCACATTCAACTGCACATGTCCAGGTATATGTGACTGACTAGGTGTACCATGATCTGGATAAATGAAGATCTTCACAAACTCTACTGGTGAGATGTCTGTGTTGAGATCTGGGGTCAGCATACCTACTGTGACTGTCAGGGCTCCCGGTAAGACCAGAGATGCGTGAACTGACACAGGGAAACGCAGGCTCAAGTATGGTGTAACAATATAATTTATTAAGGGTTATACACAAATATAAAGCTCAATATAACAAAACCAAACCTCCAACTGATAACGGAATGTACACAGATAAGAGCAGTTAGGGCTGGTGAGGTGGAGTGGTCAGGCAGGCCGGGTCAGGAATCATCGGGCAGACAAGACACAAAGGAGTAGGCAGAGTGTAGTCAGATGGGCCGAGTCAGAACAATCAGGCAGACAAGGTACCAAAGGAGCAGGCTGGAGAGTGGTCAGGAATAGCCGAAGTCAGGACAGGCGGAGTTCATTCAGGGTCAGGATCAAGCAGAATCGGGCAGGAAGCAGACAGGATGCAAGTACAGGGGCTCATGGGAAACATACACCAAGGCCCTGACTGCAGGTCTGGCCATTCCTTAAATGCACCTCCTGCAATCAGCCTCAGGTGATGGCCGACTGCAGGAGTGAGCTTCTGGTTGCTGAGAGCACCCGCTGGCCAGCCCTGGTACTGCAGCCCACAAGGCAGGTGAGTCCCACCACCATTGGCAAGTCCATTCCTGACAGTGACCATCATGAGGAGTCTCCAATCTCCCTGTTGGGTTTCTTTAATTCTTTTATATTATTTGTTCTGTATTGACATTATTGTGTTAAATATGGAGCCATCTGGGTGTTCACTGCAACGGCATCTGTTTTTATTATTTAACAAGATTAGGTAGTGTCTTGTAAATAAAGATTCCCCATCCACCACTGTACTTCCACACGAACACACCAGTGAAGGTCTCCTTTCTGCCTTTGATACACACATGCCTGTAAATTCATTTGTTGTGTTTGTTAAAATCACATATATATCTAGATTGCATTTTAATGTGATTTGTAGGTAGCTGTTTGCAAGAAATGTATTCATTGTAAGCATTTGTGAGAGACATGTATACAATCATATTGTAATTGTATTGTAGTTTTACAGAACTATTCACAGAAATAAATTAAGCTTTGGACTGAAACACAAATGCTGCTTCTGTCAGTTTTGTTAGCTAGCTGTTGGCTAACCATTAGTAGGACAGCATATTATTGAGAATGTAATAGGGTTAGTTAATATCTATCAAAAAGTAAAAAATTTTTATGAACTATAATACTTTTATTATATACAATTTTTATAGGTCAGCACATCTACCTCTCAGCTAAAGTCAATGGCAGCTTGGTGGTTCGAGCATACACCCCGGTGTCTAGTGATGAGGTGAAAGGTCACATTGATCTGGTTATAAAGGTAAATGTCTTTCTGCAGATACAAGTAAAGCTAAAGGGTACTGAACAAGAGAGTAAGGTGGGGGGCATTTGTTCCCTTGGTTGGTGTAATGATGAAAGGTCACATTGATCTGGTTATAAAGGTAAATGTCTTTCTGCAGATACAAGTAAAGCTAAAGGTAGTACTGAACAAGAAAGTACTGGGCTGGGAGGTGGGGGCATTTGTTCCCTTGGTTGGTGTAAATCAGTGTTTCTTAAACCTTTCTCAGTTACAGCATCCTATAAAAGTATGCAAAAACTTGTAGCACCCCAGTCTGAAATGGGGTCACATCAGAATCCCCCTGTTAACATCAGAAGATCCTCCCACTTTTCACATGGGTGTTATTCTTCACATCAGAGTCCTCAGTCCCTTACTTTTATGTCAGAGACCTTAACCCTCATTGTTACTATTCACAAATGAAATAAAAAGCTGTGCACTTAGATATAGTTTAATACTGCGATTGCATTTCTGTGCAGTTGGCTAGGAAGTCTAGTTTCCCTTTACTCTTAGTTGATCTAACAAAGTTTATTTCTTCCACCTGGCCAGACCCCTGTGTACAAACACATTGAAAATGTAGAACAGTGCTTGGCACTGGGTTATATCAAGCTGCAGATACAATCATGTTAATAAATGCAAAGTTCAAAATGTAGACCCCAGGCCACCAGAGACACGACATGACAGGTTTGATTTCTAGATCTCTAAAGGCCTAACATGAGTAACTCTGTTACAGAATTTTATGAAACAGTGGATGATTGCACAGACAAAGATCCATGTATACCCTCTATATTTTCTTGCAACTGTCCATAGACCAGGATGCATGGTCCTGTGAATGTCACCATTTGGAATCTGGTGTTTGAATCTTGATTTTATTTGTATCTGCTGCAGGTTTTGAGAAACCCTAACAATGGCTGGTTCTGCCTTTCAGGTTTATTACAAAAATGTGAACCCCAAATTCCCAGACGGAGGAAAAATGTCCCAGTACTTGGACAGCTTGAAAATAGGTGACACTATTGACTTTCGGGGGCCTAATGGTCTTCTAGTCTACAAAGGAAAAGGTATGTTAAAAGGAAACCTTTCCTGAATGACACATGGAGTCTGTTGCTATTTTTACTCATTCTGCAAATTTTAGTTACTTGGTTGTCATGCTGAACCTCTGGCTTTAACACCTCAAGTCGATGACCCTGAAAAAATATAGAGGTAATGACTTCTGACTTTACTTTGAGTTTCCTAATCTGTATACTGGCTCCAGGGCAATGACTTGAAGTATTGAAGGTAGAGGCTCAGCTGAAGGACCCTTTACATACTCAGGCTCTTCTCTCTGCAGCTCTATACAATGGTTGTGTTTTATTGCTCCTTCTTTGGGTCCCTTGCACACATAGTCGTTTAGGTGCTGTCTGCTCATTCCATCTGTTTAGTACACCCGCGAAGGATAGGTGGAGCACCCAACCCCTTCGACTGCAGCCTATAAAAGTCTATGGCAGGTTGTAGCTGGACAGGGCTAAACGCTGTTCTGAGTGGTACTCAAGTTTTGGTTTCTTAGCATTCAGGGTTGAATTCCAGAATGCAGGTCTTATGTGTTCTGAGCATTCATCTCTGAACACATAGGGCCCTAAACGCGAGTGCTACTCAGCACAGTGTTCAGCTCAGTCAAGCCTTAACCTGCCATAAACTGCGAGAGGCTACCAGCAGTAGGACTGGACATTGCACCTGGTCTTCCTCTAAAATGCCAGGAGAGATGATCAACAGCTAGACACCCCTGTGTGTAAGGGGCATTACAATGCAAGTTGGCCAACCCATTGGCCCACCTATCAAGTACAATGCACTTGCTGTGTTGCTGATAGCCTAATTGTGCAGTTGTGACGCAGTCAGATAGTCTTTGCAGTAGCTAACTGTTTGTGTAATAACCATACCTCCATAGATACAGTGAAGAAATTAGTGTAAATTTGAAGGTACATGAAGTGTGTAATTTGCAAGATCACCAAGTGAAAATAAAAAGGCAAAAAGCCTGAAATAGAAAAATAATGCAGCCACCATGGATAAGGATTGGTAAGCTTCAATTTGGTATGTTTTTGGGGTTTAAATATACTACAATGCATAAAAATAAAGAAGCGCAAACATGTAAAAACAATATGAAAGACACCTCAGAAATGGATTTAATATCTCCTAGATTGTAAGCTCGAAAGAGCAGGGCCCTCGAACCCCTCGTATATTGTTTTGTTACTGTATTGTCTTATGTTCTGTCTCCCACTATAATGTACAGCACTGAGCAAACCTTTTAGCGCCATATAGATACTGTATAATAATAATATATCACATCTTGCAAGCCCTTAGATGGAGGGTCATCAGTTGTCTGTCTCCTTTGTAACCTTCTTAGCGGTATTCCCGAGTGTAGCTCGGGGTAAAATTTCTATACCAAAAGCGGTAACCCCGAGCTACACTCGGGCTTACCATGCGGCGTTCTCTGGGGGTGCCTGCAGCACTTACCTTGTCCTTCACTCCAGCGATGTGTCCCCTGCAGCGTCCCCGGACATCTCCTCCGGCCGATGCCGGCATCCGGTTTCTGTGTTCCGGTCCCTGTGACGTCGGGACGTACAGGCGCCGGAACCGGCGGGAAATTTGAAATTTTTTAAAAAATTTCATTTTTGCTGTCATTACTATTTCAATGAATTTCACATACATTTTGTCCCTAGTGCTTTGTCCTGTGCCCTGCCTGCATTTTGAATGTTCTTTCTGCCTGGAAACTGAGAAAAGTCCATGGCGTCCAAAAAGCGTCCCTTTACATCAAAAGCGGTTTTAGAGCAGCGATAGTAAATCAGAAACTTCTTGCAGAATTGAGTGATAATGATTTGTGGGGAAATTCGTCATCAGACACTGAAAACAATTTTGCGACTTTGCTCAGTGATGTGCGAATTTGCCTTGTATTTCAAATTTCAGTTTTTTTGGTTTGATTATATTATTGAATTAAATTTATTATTATTATATTATTATTATTTTTTATGATTATTTATTAAATTATAATTTATGATTTCGTATTTCAAATTTTATCATATCCGGAATGTTTAACAGACTCTAGTTTTGGACAGATTTCAGTGAGTTATTCCTAAAAATTACAGCCTACAATAAAAAACTACATATTTCCATGCAAAAAAATGGTACCGCTTTCAGCACAAAAAATCGGAAAAAATCATACCACCGAGGAGGTTAAAGGCTTTTTTCCTTTATGGTCACCTGGTGATCCCTGACAGTAGCATGCTTCTTATCCTAGGGTGACACTTGTCACTGTACTTTATCTGTGGAGGGACAGTTTTGTCACTCTAGGACAAGAAGTGTGTTAGGACTACAGAACACCTCTCATTCTACTTTTCTACAAAACTATAAGGAGAGGTGTGCTATAGTCTATAAAGAGAACTAATCAGTGCTAACTGATAAGAGTACAGAGCAGAGTACATAAGATGGTTTTATTAGCTTGATAAATTTCTTAGCAGGATCAAAAAGGTATTTTTTGCACTTATTGAACAAATATAACAAAACTCTTTCAATGGTGTATATACAACAGTCCAACAGGGAGCAAATATGAGACATTTATTGTTGGGTTTACATAAACTTCGAGGTGACCACTACAATTATAAGTCAAATATCTGTTTCTTAATAAAATACCTTAGTCCCCTTTTAAAATGAACTTGTATCTGTATACAGATTTCTTGGGCCTCTCACTAATCCTTGGTTTTCTTGCAGGTAAATTTGCCATCCGACCGGACAAAAAGTCTGAACCTCAAATAAAGACCACAAAACACATTGGGATGCTGGCTGGGGGGACAGGTGAGTGATGTGATGACCTCTTACCTGATGTATTTTCCTGATATAAGCAGGTAAACCCACTTAGAGAAATTTGGTTTCCTGTAATAAAACACGGTTTCTCCTACCATAACTTCATTTTCAGAACATGCATAAAGTATACCTGCTCTGTTGTGTTCAAGAACATATGACAGATACTGCTTGATCAGACCAGCTGGTATTATCTACACAATAATATCTAATCTTTGCTGTTTGTAAAATAAAACTGACTTGGTCTCATTTATTCATTTAACTTTAAGGAAATCTGTCCTTTAAAGCTTATTTCCATTTTTTCAGCCAAATTCGGATTATATAGGTTAAATGTTCCCATTCGCATAGTATGAACTCCATGGATGATATGATATTAAAGTAATGTTACTGTGGGACAATTCAATAAAATTTGTTTTAAAGAAAAAAAATTAAATTGTGCAATGTGCCACGATCAGCATATCAACACTTCTGTCATCCCACAGCACACCAGCAGCTTCATTCCAAGGTGTACCACTGTCTTTTCAACAAGAAGCCAGTCTAATGACCAGGTTCTTGCAGGAAAACTAGCATTCGATCAGTGCTTGCAGCCAATGGCTGCAAGAGCTGATCTGTGTATACTGGCAGGAAGGGGGGTGATTTTAGTCCCCCTGTCAGAATACAGTAGCTCCGTGTGAGAGATCCATGCATCAACATCGTTTGTGTTGATGCAGCGATCTGTCATTTTTTTTCATTCAACCCATTGGTTGAATTAAACGAATAAACTGTAAATGTATACCCTGCGTTAGCCTGACCCTAATCTGTATCTAATCTTAAAATCTAACCCTTAACTTCACAGCTTTTAACCAGTCATTTAACCTACATAGTTACATAGTTAGTCTGGCTGAAAAAAGACAAAAAAGTCCATCCAATTCAACCATAAAAAAAAAATAAAAGTTATAATCCTATACCCACAGTTGATCCAGAGGAAGGCAAAAACACCCAGCAAAGCATGATTCAATTTGCTCTTGCTGGGTAAAAAAATCCTTCCTGATCCCCCGAGAGGCAATGAGATATTCCCTGGATTAACTTTACCTATAAATGTTAGTATTCAGTTATATTCTGTGTATTATGTACTTAAAGGTTAAGTTCACCATATTTAGGGTGTAACATGCTTCTATGCACCCACCTCCCGTCACCAGTGCTTCTCTCTTTGTGACCCTGCCCCCGCTGACACAATTTGAAATTTGTAGGTCTCCGCCCACGTGGCCTCCTCATTCATTCATTTTCCAGTAAATGAATAGACTACAAGAACCATTATCAACTGCAGCTGACAGCTTGTAGTTCTCAATGAACAGCAAGAGCGCAAGTGAGCACTCTCGTAGTTCATTGATTTCTTCTGCCATTCAATAACTGCTTGCCTGTACAAGAGGTACCAGCAGACAGCTTACCGAGAGTCTGCAGGAACCTCACATTGCACGTGCCATCTGCAGTTCTTGGGTGCAATGCTTTACAGGATGCAATGTAAAAAAAATGAATAAATGCACATTTTTTTACCTGCAAAAAGGTGTGCATTTATTATTTATGTACAAAACGTGAACTTGGCCTTTAACTCTTAAGCTCTAACCTAATTCCTAACACCAGGCTAACCTTGGCTGCAGCATACTAGCTTTATGCTGTGCCCAAACTAGCGGTGCAGAAAACTAACAGTTCTGGCTGGACATTAGCCGTGCCAATTCATAGCCAATAGCCACTTAAAATTAATGATCCGTAGACATTATGATAAATGGAGCCTATTGTGTATAGGCATGATAGATTAGACTGTTACTTCCCTGTATTTACCTTTGGGCAGCAAAGCATTACATTTCAGTGAGAGCTTTCTGGGTGATCGGTTTACAGACATCTGGTTCCAAAGGAATTATTGAAGAAAAAAAATATAAATGCTGATTTATAAAAACTGTATAATAAATCCCAGTTGAAGTCAAACAAATACACTCACTGGTTGCTTTATTAGGGACACCTTGCTAGTGCCAAGAAAATATCTCCCACACCATTACACCACCAGCCTGAATCGTTGATACAAGGCAGGATTGATCCATGCTTTCCTGTTTTTTATGTCAAATTCTGACCACACCATCTGAATGTCACAGCAACCAGTCTGCCCATTCTCCTCTGACCTCTGACATCAACAAGGCATTTTTGTCCACACAACTGCCACTTACTGGATATTTTCTCTTTTTTGGACCATTCTCTGTAAACCCTAGAGATGGTTGTGCGTGAATATCCCAGTAGATCAGCGGTTTTTGAAATACTCAGACCACCCCATCTGGCACCAACAACTATTCCATGTTCAAAGTCACTTAAACCCCCTTTCTTCCCCATACTGATTCTCGGTTCGAACTTCAGCAAGTCGTCTTCACCACGTCTAGATGCCTAAATGCATTAAGTTGCTGCCATGTGATTGGCTGATTAGCAATTTGTTACCAAGCAATTGAACTGGTGTATCTAATAAAGTGGCTGGTGAGTGTAGATATGTGGTCAGATAGACGTACTAACAGTCTCTATTTTTATCCTCTCCCACTTTACTGTTACAGTCTAATAGGCAACAGAGTTAAGGTGGCCACACACAGTTAGAATTTTGTTTAAAAAGTATTGTTTTCTAAATATTTGTTCAATTTTTTGTAACAGTTAATGTGCTCCAATCCATAAATATGAATATCCCCGCACAGCTACATGTAGAGCAATCCTACCCTTTTATTCAGAGCTCACCATCACAAATCTGATTCACACATCAAACATATACAATATAAAGACAAAACAAAAATTGTGGGATTAAGTGGCTTGAGAGGGAGTGCTGCACAATTTATTCAATCATTTTTTAATTGTGCTCCAATCAATGGATTTTTTTACCATAATGAACCAAAAAAATCAAAGCAGAAAGATGGACATTTTTTGGTTTTTATCAGAATGAAATTCTAACTGGTTTCTTGTGAAAAATGTACCGTAATGCGCATAGGTTAGGACAGATTTCACCTGGAAATAGAATTGGACAAGAATTTTAATTCATGGAAATGATAGCGCTCTTAGTAATCAGCACTAAGTCACTTAATTAGCCTGATACGCCTCTTCTCAGGTCTGACACCCCCCCCCCCCTCTTTTCTTTCAACTCAAGTCTATTTGAAGACACTTGTACTAAGGCGGTTGGCTTTTACTCAGCTATGCCAACACAGAGCACTGGAGTAGGAGAGCAGGAAGCAGCATGTGAAGGCATATTCTTTACAAAATCATCACAAATCACAACATTTTGAGATACAAAAATATAATGACTTCAATTTATCTAGTTTAGACTTCAGATCACATTGACAATAGAAAGTATATGTCCATATCTGACAGATTACTATAAGACCTATTGAGACTGATGTGCACGGTTCTCTGTACTCTGTAAAGTTCTTTGCAGTATGTGGTTGTTGTATGTACAGGAAATTAGAAAGTATTTTTTTTTTACTTTTTTAGTGCAGTATTTATTAGATAAGTTGATTTATATTAGCCTGTGATTCTCAGTAGCACAGAGTGAATAGGTTTAGGTCAGATTACTCTCATGTTTGCATAAGGCCAAAGGTTTTGCTGAGCAGGTTCCTGGTTTATGCGAGGCTGCACGTAGTCCCTGTGCTGATCAAAGCAGGGCAGAGACAGGCACATTGTATACTTAAATTAAAAATGAAGTCACTCCCCAGGTGCAAAAAAAAAGCATTTACAGGTATACAGAAGTCTGTTCTCTATATAGAGAAGGATTATCATTAATTCCCTATAGAGCATTCCCTGGGGCTCGGTTTCACCTTGTACTCCAGTGAAGTTTTTTTGTTCGTGCTTCATATTGTGTTTTGTACTGATTGACGCATTGGTCAGAAACTGCATTGTTGTTAGGTGGTTGTTCTGTACATGTGAAATATGGAAGAAACTCTTCTCCTCTCTCAATCTGTACTTTGCACTCCTGTAAAATAATTCCTTGAAATTCATAGAGAGGACGCTATCCATTTGTTTTCTTGTACAATAATTTTTATTAAAGGTATAGAATTGAGTACATTGTGAATTATGCGGTGTACAAAGACTGCCATGCAGTCAAAACGTAGTGAATAACTTTTACAAAATTTGAATTTCAATAACCGTACAAAGATAACAACTTAATGGAGCAAATGTTCGATCATGAATAAAGGCAAGCAATTGAGCAACTCCGCATTGCGGGGACCAGGGGCGGACTGACCATTTGAGCACTCGGACACTGCCCGAGGGCCCGGGGTCAGTAGAGGGCCCTATGAGATGCCCCTGGTACCTTTTCATTGACTTTTTCATAGGCTTTTTTGGGTGTGGGCAAGGACACAGGGGCCCCATGATCCCCTATTGCCCGGGGGCCCCATGAGTTGTCAGTCCGCCCCTGGCGGGGACTATTCACTTGTTGGGGTTGTTGAGGGTTTCTGAAGCTGTAGTGGGCTAAGCCACTCCACCGTTAAAAAGGGAAGTATGTTTTTTCTTTTTTTCTCCGCATTATACTTACCTAGGTGGATGCAGCATCGGGGAATATCTACTTTTTTGAGGGTTCCTGAAGCTGTAGTGGACTAAGTCTCTCCACTGTTTATAAGAGAGGTATGGTTTTTTTTTTTTCTCCCCATTGTACTTACCTAGGTAGATGCAGCATTGGTTTGGCTCCAAGGCTGGAAACTGACTGTCACCACTGTCTGTTCAGCCCCCACCAGTGCTCACTGGAGCGCTGGGCTGTGGAGGGGGAAGGAGCGGAAGGCTCAGGCTGTCAGCACTTCGCTGAGAGGCTGAGCCAGGTGCCGTTTCAGACTCTGGGGTGGATCCCGACTTAGAAGTCGGAATCTTTCCCCAGCCTAGACCAGCTGAGAGACGCCAACCGACAGCGGACTTCAGTCAACTGAAAACGGGTCACAGTGCAGAACGCACTGCACTACTGTAATCCACAGGAGAATTTCAACCAAAAATGCTTTGGCTATACATCTCCTTTATTGGTAATGCATGGTGGCTCTATGTATATTTTCTTCACTGTGGTCAGGATAAATAGGTTATAGTAAAAATCAATTTATAGTATGAACAGTGAATATGTAATGTTGCAAATGGCTATTATGTAGCCTGCAATCCATGCTGCAGGTGGTACTCTAGCTTTATTTTCATGTGTTTTTCAGGGCGACCTCTCTTGCATTGCTGATAAAAGTCTGTACTATACTAGGTTCAAAGAATCTGCCTCAAATTTCCACACACGCACACCCAAATGAGCCATTTCTCCCTCCATTAACTTTCCTGGTTCTCCTTTTGAATGGGCAAACAGAGTTTTGATCAAAGACAGAGAGTCAGAAAGTAGACATCTTTTGTTGTGTTCTCTCTGTAGAAAACCCCTAATACTGTTTAAAGTGGGTAGTAGGGCGCGTCGGTGGACGATGCTGTGGAAGTATGGCAGGTGATGATGGATGGTGTGTAGGGAAACCGGTACTGAGCAGCACTTCTAAAGAGTGGAGACAAACTTCGTGCAGAAGAAAGTGAAACAGGAAGGCGCTTCTAAGTGCAGTATTCCAGGTCAACTTTAATGAAGTCATCCATTGCTCAGAGGACAGAGCCCTGCTACTGACCGATTACATTAGAGCCTGTTTGTATTACGACATTATAACTGTTTTTAACCACTTTTTATTAAAGTTGACCTGGAATACTGCACTTAGAAGCGCCTTCCTGTTTCACCCTAATACTGTGTGTATCCTGTGCCATAGGTGCACCCTGTATTAAAACTGAAATCCGGGCTAAATAAATATTGTCTCTATAAGAGAGATGTGTAACCTTACTTAAGTCTCCTATCCTGTGCATTTCATCTAGATCTGTGCAGTAATCCAGCATGAAACAACTCTTGTATTTTTCCTTTGAACAGGAGATCCTTGCAATAAAGACCAGTCACTGATGCTCTCTTCTTGTGCAGGGTGACTGGTCTTGTATCCACCCCCTTAGTGGGTGGGGCCTTCTGGGTCCCATCCTCAGCTCTGATCTCTGTATAAGCCAAGTGCAGCCCAGTAATAATGCCGCTGCAAATTTTACAAGATAACTGGGTTTGTAATGGCATTTGGTGGACACAAAGTGGATTTATACTGTACCCTTTATGGCCATTGAGGAATATATACGAATAAAAGTTTTGGTGTCCAGAGTTCAGTTTGAAATGTTTATTTGTAAACTAAAGGTTTGATAGTATAAATGTGTAGATTATTATTATTGTTATTATAATACAGTATTTATATAGCGCCAAAGGTATGCTCAGCGCTGTACAATAGCAAGGGGGACAGAACATGAGACAAGACAGAAACAATACAATACATGAGGGGTTCGAGGGCCCTGCTCTTTCGAGCTTACAATCTAGGAGGGAGGGGATAGTGGTACAGGAGGAAGTGGCTGTGGGGGATGGAGTGGCGGGAGGAGTGGAGGAGGTTAGTTGTTAGGTGAGGTTGGGGTAGGCATCCCTGAAGAGGAGGGTTTTCAGGGTGCGCCTGAAGGTGAGGAGGGTAGGCGACAGTCTGATGGATTGGGGTGGGAGTTCCAGAGGATGGGGGAAGTCCTGGAGAAGTCCTGCAATCGGGCATGGGAGGAGGAGACCAGGGAGCTAGAGAGTAGGAGGTCCTGTGAGGAGCGGAGGGCATGGGTAGGGTAGTATTTGGGTATCAGGTCAGTTATGTAGTTTGAGGCGGCATTGTGAATGGCTTTGTAGGTCAGAGTTAGCAGTTTGAATTTGATGCGTTGGGCAATCGGGAGCCAATGAAGGGATTGGCAGAGGGGGGAGGCAGATGTGGAGCGGTTGGTGAGGTGGATGAGTCTGGCCAGTGAGTTTAGGATCGACTGGAGTGGGGATAGCGCTCGTTTGGGTAGGCCAGTGAGAAGGGAATTGCAATAGTCCAGGCGTGAGATGATGAGGGAGTGTACGAGTTGTTTGGTGGTGTCTGGGGTGAGGAATGTGCGTATCTTGGAGATGTTGCGGATTGTTAGAAAGGAGGACAGATATAATTAACCGCTTCTTTCCTTTTCTACTCTAGGTATTACTCCAATGCTGCAGCTGATCCGTCACATTACGGAGGATCCTAACGATGACACAAAATGTTCTCTTATCTTTGCTAATCAGGTAAGAGAAAACTTCTTCCATCTTCAAAGATGGCCAAACACCCACATAGATTATTTTAAGGAAAAGGTCATACTCTACCTTCTCTTCTGATCATTGGCTTAAGCATGGCTAGCAGTAAGGACGATAAGCAAGTGGATGAAAGATAGGATTGTTTGATGAATGCATCTTATCTTGTGTGGCTCTTATGCCAATATCTTTCAGGAGTAGGCTAATCGATTGCAGATTGGGATGACCCTGGCTGAGTAGTCACGTAAGGCATCATGATTTGCTCCTATAGCTGGACCCCTAGCAGATATTTAAACGCCATTTAGTCTAGTTATGTGTTACTTGAAAAATCATTAAATGTTTTATTACATTTGATTAGTATAAGCATCTGATGGTGTCATAATATAAGCTTTCTTTAGGCTGGCCATACATTGTACAATTTTCTGTTCAATTTCTGCCCAAGTTCCTTTAGATTTACCTTCAACTACAGTGGGGCAAAAAAGTATTTAGTCAGCCACCAATTGTGCAAGTTTTCCCACTTAAAAAGATGAGAGAGGCCTGTAATTGGCATCATTGGTAGACCTCAACTATGAGAGACAAAATGAGAAAAAAAATCCAGACAATCACATTGGCTGATTTGGAAAGAATTTATTTGCAAATTATGGTGGAAAATAAGTATTTGGTCAATATCAAAAGTTCATCTCAATACTTTGTTATATATCCTTTGTTGGCAATGACAGAGGTCAAACGTTTCCTGTAAGTCTTCACAAGGTTGGCACACACTGTTGCTGGTATGTTGGCCCATCCTCCATGCAGATCTCCTCTAGAGCAGTGATGTTTTGGGGCTGTCGCTGGGCAACACAGACTTTCAACTCCCTCCAAAGGTTTTCTATGGGGTTGAGATCTGGAGACTGACTAGGCCACTCCAAGACATTGAAATGCTTCTTACGAAGCCACTCCTTCATTGCCTGGGCGGTATGTTTGGGATCATTGTCATGTTGGAAGACCCAGCCATGTTTCATCTTCAATGCCCTTGCTGATGGAAGGAGGTTTGCACTCAAAATCTCACGATACATGGCCCCATTCATTCTGTCCTGTACATGGATCAGTCATCCTGGTCCCTTTGCGGAGAAACAGCCCCAAAGCATGATGTTTCCTCCCCCATGCTTCACAGTAGTTATGGTGTTCTTTGGATGCAACTCAGCATTCTCTCTCCTCCAAACACGACGAGTTGTGTTTCTACCAAACAGTTCTATTTTGGTTTCATCTGACCATATGACATTCTCCCAATCCTCTTCTGGATCATCCAAATGCTCTCTAGCAAACTTCAGACGGGCCCGGACATGTACTGGCTTAAGCAGGGGGACACGTCTGGCACTGCAGGATCTGAGTCCCTGGCGGCGTAGTGTGTTACTGATGGTAGCCTTTGTTACGTTGGTCCCAGCTCTCTGCAGGTCATTCACTAGGTCCCCCCGTGTGGTTCAGGGATTTTTGCTCACCGTTCTTGTGATCATTTTGACCCCACAGGGTGAGATCTTGCGTGGAGCCCCAGATCGAGGGAGATTATCAGTGGTCTTGTATGTCTTCCATTTTCTAATTATTGCTCTCACAGTTGATTTGTTCACACCAAGCTGCTTGCCTATTGCAGATTCAGTCTTCCCAGCCTGGTGCAGGTCTACAATTTTGTTTCTGGTGTCCTTCGACAGCTCTTTGGTCTTCACCATAGTGGAGTTTGGAGTGTGACTTTTTGAGGTTGTGGACAGGTGTCTTTTATACTGATAACAAGTTCAAACAGGTGCCATTGATACAGGTAATGAGTGCAGGACAGAGGAGCCTCTTAAAGAAGAAGGTACAGGTCTGTGAGAGCCAGAAATCTTGCTTGTTTGTAGGTGACCAAATACTTATTTTCCACCATAATTTGCAAATAAATTCTTTCCAAATCAGCCAATGTGATTGTCTGGATTTTTTTTCTCATTTTGTCTCTCATAGTTGAGGTCTACCTATGATGCCAATTACAGGCCTCTCTCATCTTTTTAAGTGGGAGAACTTGCACAATTGGTGGCTGACTAAATACTTTTTTGCCCCACTGTATGTAGTGCAAGGGCCTGCCTAATTGGATACAATTGAAAGTGTTGTTTAGGTTTGACCTCATATTGTATAGTGTTTGGTAAATCTAAAGCAAAATTCTCAAGAAATTTGTATAATGTAAGGCCAGCCTTAATCTGCAGACTCGTAGTGGAAGAGAATGGGGCAAATCTAGAAACCAGTTGGGCTCTGCTGTAGTGCACAGAGCTTCTAGTGTAACATGCTGAGATGATGAAATAATCAGAGTAGCCAGGGATCAGTATGCTGCTGCTCCCTTACTGTCCAGTAAGCAGGTGAACCAGACTGTTCTGCATAAAGAAACTTTCACTTTAACAAAAGAAAAAAAAAGACTGCTAACAAGTATAAATTGGTGCAGTCGTTTTCAGAATTATTTTAACTGCACTGGAGTTCCAAGACCTGGCTCTGATGTTTAGTAGGGGTTCTCAAATCACAAGACGAGCTGAACAGAATTAAAGAATCTTTTTGAAAGCAAAAGCGTTTATGTACAGTATGTGTATTTCAACTGAATGTTTAGCTGCTTGCTAGGAGCTCGGCTGTAATTGTGACAATTCTTCAAAAATAGCAGATGGCAGTAACTTCATGTAGAGCTATGACCTCTCATAAAAACAATGTGCTGCAGGACCTACTGATAAGTGCATCTGCACTTATAGTTTAGTCCCCCTCATCCATTCACAAATACCTGCTGATCTTGCCGGCGAAATTCACCTAATGTGGCTTCCTGTGATGGTGTGACAACAGTGCAACTTTCTTCCTGAATACAGAGCAGCATTGCCACTCTGTAGGCGGTAGAGGGATGAAAAAATGTTGCAAGGGATGTGGCAGTCCATTGTCATTGTCAATTCTCAAGCCTGTAGCTTGTCAATTAGCACCTGGCCACATCTAGTCCTACCCATTGCTTTCTGGATTGACAGCACTGCCTCTTTTGCTGCACTCCAACTGTGAGCGGGGTGGGTGAGCATGAGACACAAATGAAGAAGGCTTTGTCTCAGTCAGTGAATGTATAAAGTTTTGTTTATTTTGTTTCTTTTGTATGACATAGTAACTGGATTTGGTACTTTCTGTCATAGGGGAGCCTTTTAAATGTGTTCTTCGTATAGACCCCAACTTTCATCAAAAATAGGGTAGCAGAAGGATCATATATATTACTTGTCAGCTACCCGGCTTAAATCCCCTTGTTGGGTAGGTGTAGTGGCAGTAAATGCATAGAGGCCCAGAGTGCACTAACTGATGTATTGAAGAACTTGTAACAGTACAACAACCTGGCAGGAAAGCTCACCCACCTGGGAACTTACAGCCAATATAGTGGAGAGTCAGTGGTGGTAGGCCCAAACTACTAGAAAAAAACTCCTGCCAAGGGGGAGGAATGAAGCCTGGCCGGTCCAACCCAAAAGGGAGCTTGCTGATGTAGAGACGTAGTGTCAGGGATCCCCGCGATCTGTCCCTCGATGGTCCCGGCGCAGGCGCACTGCTCCTCCCAGTAGAACGGGCACTAGGTCCGGGCCGGCCGCGGCGTTCGAGTTCGCGCATGCGCAGTAGAAGCCGCGGCCGCCCGCTGGGCACCAATGGCAGCGCAGGGCGGGATATTTAAAGGTCCCTGAGCTGTCATTTCGTTGCCTTCTGGTCTTACCTGCATTCCTGATCCTGTGAACCTGTATCCTGTAAGTTATTGACCCGGATTGCTCTTGACCTTGCTGATTTCTCCTGCCCAGACCCTTGCTTGCCTGACCTCTCTCCCTGGATGCCCCTCTGTAGATCTGACCTCCTGTTGCTGACCTGGCGTGTGACCCGACGATTCTCTGCCTGCTCCCTTGTACCTTACCGTCCTCTACATTACCGACTCGGCCTGTCTGACTACGCACTTGCTCAGCCATCCATCCATCCATCCCATCAGGGTCACCCGACCTCCTCACATTTGGCTCTCCCTGGTTGGAACCCCTGGCGGACACCCCTACCACTGACAGGTGTGCTCAGTAGAGGCGACCTGGTCTCAGGGTACTACAAGTCCATCCCCACCATCAGGGGCCCTGGTGAACAAGTACCCTGGGGCTTAGATTCCGCGCTCTGGGCACGCCTGACCGGTGGAGTGCTAGTGGTGCCGCTCGGCGGTCCCTCACACGTAGGCTCTGAGCAGTCCCTACTCCTAGAGAACCTGTCCCTACCGCTATTGCTGTCCCTGACAGGCGGGTATGTGCTCCCTACACTAGCCACTTAGCAAATGCCTACCAATACCTGAAGGCAGGGACTTAAAATGATTCTGGAGTGACCCAAAATGGCTGTCAGGGTCACCTTGATGCAGTGTGGCCAACCAAAATGCTGCTCCATGGAACCAAGGGAATCCTAGAGAAACCAAGGAAAGATTCTCTTGACTTTCACCCTCCCAGCTGCAGTAATGTTCCAGGAGAGCGCCACCTACAGTGGAGAAACTAGACTACACCCTGATTTTGATGAAAGCGGTACTCCAACGGTATCCCCTAACTACAAGTAGTGTCATCCAAAGAAGGCTGTGTAAATCTCAGGAGTGGATGGACAGAATTACAAATCCTTTGGCAGATTAAACAGATCACACAAATGTGTGTTATCTGTGTATTTAGCGGTTTGCCTGGTAAATGGACTTATATCATTTATTTTTTTATCTGCAGACTGAAGATGACATTCTGCTGCGTGCAGAACTTGAGGCTGCAGCCAAGAGCCACCCAAATCAGTTTAAGCTGTGGTACACTCTGGACCGCCCCCCTCAAGGTAAGATCATGCACCTTTATGTATTCAAAAACAGGCGTACTCTGATGCTTTTCAAGGTAACCTAAAACCAATTTGATTTCATTTGCCAGTCAGATCTGTGAAAAGTGAATCTTCATTTCTTACCATAGGTTACTGCGCTTGGTGAGTCTAGCATTTAGTTGGGGGGGCTGGGGGTTCTTACACTGAGCAGTTTTCAAGGACATGACCTTTGTGTTCAATACCAAAATCTATAATTAGCCCATTCAGGGCAAACATGTTCACTTGATAATGTAGCCACTTCAATGTTGATTCTCACCTTCCCTGTTACCTCATTCATGAAATACTTGGTACATCCAGGTAAGGGTGACTTTCTTTCCTTCCTACCAAGATACAACACTGGGTGCCTGAGTGTGAAGCGCTGTCACATAGGGGCCTTAGAGCAGAGGCGTCCCTTGGGTTGGTGTCACCCGGTGCGGTAATACCCCCTCAGACGATCCCCGCAGAATGGATCGGATCTGCGGATTGAGCGGGTCCGGTGTCACCCCGTGCAGTCGGTGTCACCCGGTACGGACCCCTGCACCTGCCTCGGGACGCCACTGCCTTAGAAAATATAATCACGGCGCTAAACAGTACATGTAAACAATAAGCAACTATAAGGTGTCCAATATAAAGTAAAAAAAAAAAAATCTGATCAGTTGCTTGCTATTGCTCAGTAAGGTGATACTGCTTCATAAGTAAAATCTTCCTTAATAAAGTGCTCAGCAAACCAGAAAGTAACTTCGTGCTCAAGACAAATGGCAGTCCGTGCCCCTTCTCCTGTTCCTGCACATACCCGACAAGAAGGACCTCCTGCTAGAATCATACAAGCTCTTTATGGTGTTTTGTATCTCTTCACTCCAGTCTGCTAAGGTCTCCGCCTTCCTTCATGCTCTTTTCTCCATTTCCCGGTTATATGGTATGTAATAAAAATAAAAAAATGTATTCCGCGCCTCTAACAATATATTAAATATATGTGCTTATGTTGTGCACCATGAAAAATATGCTAAAAGGGAGTGGCTGCTAGAAATGTCATTGTGTTCCCACAACCAATATAATATAAAATATAAAAAAGAAAAAAATATATCGCTGCACCTCCCAATCCAAAAATAACAATCCAATATGTGAATCTATGAGGATAATTAACCACAGAAAATATATATAAATATATATATGTATAAAATGATCCACAAGAAAAAAATGATTACTAACAGTAAATATTAATAAAAATATTAATAATAACAATAGGTGACCATTCATTGGCCGTGAGTTTCTTCTCCAATTGCCATATGATATATTACTGCATTCCACCTTTTGTGATACTCCACATCATTGCATTCCACCTTTTTGTGATAGTCCACAACAGGGGCGCACTGACAATTCGAGCACTAGGGCACTGCCCGAGGGCCCGGGGTCAGTAAAGGGCCCCATGAGATGCCCCTGGTACCTTTTTCATAGGCTTTTTTGGGTGTGGGCAAGGACACAGAGCCCCATAATCCCCTATTGCCTGGGGGCCCCATGAGTTGTCAGTCCGCCCCTGCTCCACAATAACATACACCACTCACCACTGTGCTCACCTCTAAGATTGGACCCGTATAGTTACAGGTCTCACTTTTCCCCTTATAAACACAAGATTCATATGTTCCCATGTTTTGTCATCTGTCCCTTAAATTATGATCCCTTCTTCTTTTATATTCTGCTCACATAAAGCAAAAAAGGTAATACATAGTGCAGTATTTATGCATAAAGATATGAATTTATTATAAAAATGCACTTACAAGTGAAGTAAAAACACAGGCTTTCATACAGACAGCGGGGCCGCGGCTCCCGCGTCACTTCCGGTTTGGTGTACTAGTGGACTTTAACTTTGCTCCTTGTTCTTTTTGGGGTTCTGCTGGGTTAACTGCATTACCCTAAAAATATTTTTATTGACTTGTTTATAATCACCCCTTTTTTACTTTAGATGTTGAGCATTCACATGTACAGCACACATCTGACATTATGTATTTGTATTATATGTTCCCCACCACGATAGCGCTAGTCTAACTCTGCAGTAGGTTTTTTTTTATCAGTGTTCTTCCCATTTTTTAGTCTTTGTTCATTTTATATGTAAGGTGTTTCCCTGATTATGCTATCAGCATACATATTGAGTATATTATAGCAGGTGTGTTTTTTATTGTTGTAGCATTTGATGCAGCAACTCATTGCTTTTGGGCATCTAGACGCAGTGAAGAAACCTTGCTAAAGTTCAAACCGAGCATCAGCCTGCTGATCTACTGGGATCGTCACACACAACCATCTCTAGGGTTTATAGAGAATGGTCTAAAAAAGAGAAACTATCCAGTGAGCGGCCGTTCTGCGGATGAAAATGCCTTGCTGATATCAACAGAGAATGGGCAGACTGGTTGCTGTGACATTCAGATGGTAGAGTCAGAATTTGGTGTAAACAACATGAAAGCATGGATCCATCCTGCCGTGTATTATCGGTTCAGGTTGGTGGTGGCGCAATGTTGTGGGGGATATTTTCTTGGCACTAGCAAGCTGTACCTAATAAAGGGGCCAATGAGTGTATATGCCATATAACCTGGAAATGGAGAAAAGAGCATGAAAGAAGGCAGAAACCATAGCAGAGTGGGGTAAAGAGATACAACACCGCATAAAGAGCTTGTATGATTCTTATGCTGTTAGCAGGGGGTCCACCTTGTCAGGTGAGTGCGAGGACAGGAGAAGGGGCACGGATCACAATTTTTCTTGACCACAAAGTCACTTTATGGTATGCAGAGCACTGAGCACTTTGAGGAAGATTTCACTTAGGAAGCAAAATCACCTTACTGTGCAATAGCATGCCACTGGTCACGGTATTTTTTAAGTTTATGTTGGACACTTTATAGTTGTTTACTTGTACTGTTTAGCGCTGTGATTATATTCTCTATCATTTAGTGGTTTGCACACTTGAGCAGCAGCATCAGTACTTATTAGGGGTCCATAGCGTGGGTTTTGTTTTAATTCTATTACATAGAGACCTCTGACCCCAGATTTTACACATGGCCTTTTTTTTTCTGGAGGGTAGACAGGAAGTAGTATTATTATAATACAGGATTTATATAGTGCCAACAGTTTGCTCAGCACTTTACAATATAACAGGAGACAATACAGTTCAATACAAGAGGGTTAGGAGGGCCCTGCTCCTTGGAGCTTACAATCTAAGAGGGAGGGGCTGGTGGTACAATGTGGGGGATGGATTGGACTAGAAGATTCCATTATTAGCTGAGGGTAGGATAGGCTTCCCTGAAGAGATAGGTTTTCAGAGATCGCCTAAAAAGTGAGCAGAGTAGGCGATAGTCTGATAAATTGGGGGGTAGAGAGTTCCAGAGGATGAGGGGAAGCTCTGTAGAAGTCCTGGAGACGAGCATGGGAGGAGGGAACAGGGGAGCTAGAGAATAGGAGGTCGTGCGAGGAGCAGAGAGTACGGTTTGGGTGATATTTGGAGGCAAGTTTGGTGATGTAATTTGGGGCAGAGTTCTAAATAAATTTATATGTTATTGTTAATGTTTTGAATTTTATCCGTTGGCAATGGGAAGCCAGTGGAGGGATTGGCAGAGAGGGAATAGTTAGTAAGGTGGATGAGTCTGGCAGCAGCATTCATGATAGCCTGCGATGAGGTAGGCCAATGAGGAGGGAGTTACAACAGTCAGTCAAGGTGAGAGATAACAAGGCAGTGAATAAGTTGTATAAAGAAGTATAATAAAGGCAAGTACTAGCACTGAGGATTGCAGTGGACCAGGAAATCAACATTTGTTGGTCAAACAGCCTGTTTGTCTGCACATTTTCTAATAATCCTGGTTTATTATACTACCTAGTTCTTCATGGGGGGGGGGGGGGGGGGGTGCGGGAAGCCACTAAAACACATTGGGTGCTCTTCTAATTTTTCTGTGGCAAAAAAGAAATCGGACATGTCAAACCAACTAGTAGCACTCCCATCCTTTTTCAAGGCCATGCGTCAGTTTTTATGGGTAATGTTGAACCTTTGAATTACTTTACATTTTAGGGTCTAGCTCCATACAAATACCTTTGGGCCATATATAAGGTATGGTATTTGACAAACAGTATCATGCTCTCTTTTCAGGCTGGAAGTACAGCTCTGGCTTTGTCACGGCAGACATGATAAAGAAGCACTTGCCATCTCCTTCTGATAATCCACTTGTGCTAATGTGCGGACCCCCTCCAATGATCCAGTTTGCCTGTCAGGACAACCTGGCCAAGCTTGGCTACCTTGAAGACAGAAGGTTTGCCTACTAAAAACTCAACAAACCACTGGTGCTCCTGTGCCAAACACCTGGATGCTGGTAACTGAGAAGATACTTCAAATTTGGCAGATAGTTACACACTGACTTTTTTTTTTTTTTTTTTTTTTAAAGGCCAACTCCATCCAAAAGCTGACTATTTATACTCCTAAAGGCCAGAATGAAGAGGTTGTCTTGTCACGGTTGAATGACCCAGTTATTTGTTGAAGGTTACAGAATTTATCAGTAAACTGTTAGCATTGGAACAGCTGCAGCAGTTGGGTTTAAATGGGAATACTTGTGGTAGTATCTTGATAACTAAATCTTTAAGAACATGATATGCAATCCAACTTGCCAGCAACCATGCTAAACTGAAATAGTTTTTGGGTGAAGTTGTCCTTTAGGTTATATGCAGTAAGGGCTAGTTCACATTAGATGCAGTTCAGTGTGCTTTTTTTTTTTTCTTTTTTGCATCAAAAACGCATGCACAGTGTTTTCCATGTATTTCAATGGCCCTAGTTCACACCAGTGCAGTGAGTTCCAGTCAGTTTCCGGTGCAGGAAAAAAAAAAATTAAAACGTAAAACATGCTGCAATTTTTCTGCACAGAAACATACTGGAACATAGCAAACTGCATGTGGTGTGAACTGTAAGCAAAAAGGTATCCAGAATGCATCCGCAGTGCATTTTTGTAGTGTGAACTGGCCCTAAATATTAATTTGTACTATAATTTAGCCCTGCATTGTTGCAATCTATTAGTACTGCACAGGGGTGGACTGACAACTCATGGGGCCCCTGTGTCCTTGCCCAAACTCAAAAAAGCCTATGAAAAAGGTACCAGGGGCATCTCATGGGACCCCCAACTGACCCCGGGCCCTCTGGCCGTTCCCGAGTTTCCAAATGGTCAGTCCTCCCCTGGTACTGCATGTACATACACAATTTCTCTTTTCGCCTCTGAGTTGTTTTTGCCAAAATATTTTTAACTTTGAAATGTGTTTTTTAAATTTATTAAGGCAATAATAGTCTTTGAAGAGAGGATCCCTTAACAGCCAGGTGATATAAATCAGATATAGAGAAGCTCAAGAGTGGTGTACCCTGTATCTTATGGGGAGGGTCATGTTGAAGGACCTGGTCATCAGTAAAATAAAGCTCTGCATTTTTCCTGGAGATCACATTCAGAGAGGTTGAGTTAAACATGAAATAATAGCACAGTTTATAGAAGACAGGCACAATACAAAATATAGTTTTACATTTCACTATTGCCAAGAAATCAGCAGTGTCTTTATAGCATTAATCTAGACACTGACACACAGTGACGGACAACTCAGGAGAAACACTTCAGATGTACATTTTTATGAATTTTTTACTAGGAAGTGACCAATATCTTAAAATGTGAATTTTTAACATTTGGTTTAATAATTTTAGTTCCTAAAGTTTCAATAATTAAACTGTTATTCTGTACTACGAGTGTTGTGTGAGTATATGTCTAGGGTAGCCATTTTCAACCAGGGTACCACGGAACCCTAGGATTTCTCCAGAGGTTGCTAGGGGTTTTTTGAGCAGTGGCCAGTTGACCTCTCATTTGATGTTGTTACTGGGTCTTTCAAGTATCATTGGCAACATCAGTGATCTTTCCAGCTATTTAGTCACCACTGTAAGGGGAGGATTTTTCCTGCTTGCCACCAAATGTAAGGGGATTTTTCACCCCCAGTGAATTGGTTTTAGCAGGGGTTCCCCTAGACCAGGGGTGTTTAACTGGTGGCCCTCCAGCTGTTGCAAAACTACAAGTCCCATCATGCCTCTGCCTTTGGGAGTCAATCTGTCAATCTTGCAATGCCTTTATGGTCCACCAGTTTGACAGCCGTATCCTAGACCTAAAGATATTTTAAAGAGTTTGAGGAAAGGCTGGTCTAGGTGTACAGGAGCTGCACTTTCCAAAATGAACACAAGATGGCAAAATGCAACCACTGCACAGAACGAAGCATGACATCACACTCAATAACAGGTCTCACATGGCTTTACTTCTACAACAGAAAAAAAGGTAAAAATACCCCAATTTCATATACGAAGGGGGACAAAAAAGTTGTTCATCTTGTCTGTAGAAAATATCCGATAACAATGGCATACGTCACAATCTTTATGCGCCATTGACTTTGTCCAGAGCTTGCTGCTGTATAGAACAGTGAAAGGATACCAACATTCCCATCAGTGGTGTCTTTTGGTTTTGTGCTGCCCTAGGCAACAAAAAAAAATTGGATCCCCCCCCCCAGAGAGAGAGCCTGACACCAACCAACACCACCCCCCTTCACCCCACCCCCGTGGGGAGAGCCTGACATTGACCAACACCACCCCTGCCCCTCCCCCACTCGAGAGAACTTTCCACTAACATACAACGCCCCCTTCCTGGCAAGAGAGAGAAAGTCACTCACCTTCACAGCACTGGACAACCCTGAGAAGAAGAGAGTTGGGCTCTGCATACACCATCAAGTGGCCTGTGCCCTCTCAGATCCCACCTGGTCCCCATGCAGCGTGTGTCCCTTCTTCAGGGATGTGGTGCTGCCCCCTGAAAAATGCCGCCCTAGGCAAATGCCTTGTTGTAAATACACCCGATTCACATGAATGTGTCTTTTTAGCAGTTTCCAAGGTAAGTAGAGGGGAAACCATGAATTTAAAAATTGCAGGAAGGTGCTAAGGAAATAGAAGGGATGGCTGCAGGACTGTAATATGGCGAGGTATCGTGTAAACTCTGGTCAACTAGAGAGACTTTATATTCCCATGTAGTGGTGGGCTTTATAACTGGTATAGATGGTGGTTATGGAAGAGAAGTGTTCTGTATGCCATCTTATAAACTACCTGATGGGTTCAGTTATGGAGCGTTTTGGCCATACTGCCTACCTGTGTGTATGCCAAGTTATACCACACACTGTATATTGTAAAATGTATGCGACCACCCTCCAGATTATGGAGTTCATGTGCTTCCAGTGAAGGATATGGTTTATGCTTTAGCATACAAAGACATTTTATACTTCCAACCTTGTGGCAATAATTTGGGAAAGGCCATCTTTGGTTCTGGCGTCCGTACCCTTGTGCACTAAGCCAGAGATAAAGATATAGTTTGGTGTGGGGGAACATCAGTGGCCTGCACAGAATGCTTTTTTTGTTGGGGGGAGTCTATATTAATGTCCATAATTTTATAATGGAATGTCCAACACACTTTCATGGGTTTGATGGTCAGATGTCCACAAACTTTGTCCATATACAGTTGTGTTCAAAATAATAGCAGTCAGACATCACTAACCGGATCAATCACTGTTTTTGGTAGAAATGATATTTCTACATGGCAAATAATTTACTACCAGGTGTAGTAGAGTAATAGAAATCCAACAGACCCAACAGTCATGACATGCATGCTGCTGATTCTGTGTAATTGAATCACTCATTGAAAGGGGCATGTTCAAAATAATAGCAGTGTGGAGTTCTATTAGTGAGGTCATTCATTCTTTGAAAAACAGGTGGCAATTATTGCCCTTATTTAAGGAAGGAAGGCAGCAAATGTTGTACATGCTGGTTACAGTGCATTTCTCTCTGAAATTCTGAGGACAATGGGTCGTTCCAGACATTGTTCAGAAGAACAGCGTACCTTGATTAAAAAGTTGATTGGAGAGGGGAAAACAAAAGTGCAGAAAATGATCGGCTGCTCAGCTAAAATGATCGCAAATGCTTAAAAATGGCAACCAAAACCTGAAAGACGTGGAAGAAAGCGAAAAACTACCATTGGAATGGATAGAAGAATAACCAAAATGGCAAGGACTCAGCCAACAATCAGCTCCAGGAAGATGAAAGAAGGTGTAAAGTTCCCTGTGAGTACTGTTACAATTAGAAGCCAAGCTATCTGCAAGAAGCCCCCGCAAAGTCCCACTGTTGAAAAAAATGACATGTGCTGAAGAGGTTACAATTTGCCAAAGAGCACATTGACTGGCCTAAAGAGAAATGGCGCAACATTTTGTGGACTGATGAAAGGAAGATTGTTCTTTTTGGGTCTAGTGGCCGGAGACAGTTTGTCAGACGACCGCCAAACACTGAATTCAAGCCACAGTACACTGTGAAGACAGTGAAGCATGGTGGTGCAAGCATCATGATATGGGGATGTTTCTTATACAACTAAATATTAATTAATTCAAAGGAAAGCAAAATCTTCAAAAAAATAGCTGAGTTTGTAAAGAAGTATACAAACACTAACATTCACTATATAAACTGAAAAATGTTTGAACAGTCTAATATTCACTTTTCTTCAATTTTTTTTTTTAGAGGAACAACACAAATTTGATCTATTTTTCTTCATGTGTTGATTTGGAATAGAATGTGTAGCGTTCCCAATGCATTTGTGTATATGGAAATAAAAGCTATTAGAAGGATTTTGAACTGTATTCACTTTTTTCAACACACTGCTATTATTTTGAACACAACTGTATATTGTATCAAATTTTTTTTTTAAAGTGACCCACAAACCTCTCTCCCTCTCTCCCTCTCCCTCTCTCCCTCTCTCTCTCTCTCTCTCCCTCTCTCCCTCTCTCCCTCTCTATATATATATATATATATATATATATCTCCCCTATATATATATATATATATAAATAAATGAAGTCCATATATGCTCTTTTCTACAGTTAGTGGGGACCGTACAGGTGCTGATGAGAAGTTACACTGAAGATTCAGTAAAATAAGTTAGACCCTTGCTCTGCCAGTCTAGGGTGATGGGAATGAAAATCTAGCATAAAGGAAGAGAAGCTGGACCTACTTTGTTGACCGTGGGTCCAGTGCAGGCGTTTATGGGAAAAGATGCAAGGGAAGACAAGGAACTTTTACTACTTCAGGAAGATATCAGCAGCCACATAAGGTATGATTAGTTTCCCTGAACCCTTCTATACCTAGCATTGAAGGCAGCAAACTCATAACGTAAGGGAAAAGTAGTTTAATTCTCAGCAAAAAGGAAACATATTTTTATCATTCATGATAG